TCTGTCTATTAAACGACTAGTTTACACAACTTTTAAGGCAACTTTTCAAATTTCGGAGACTAATCCAACCCAGTCATGGCACTTTTCCCGAACATTATAAAAAAAAACTGTTCCGCTTGCCACGCAACATTTGAACCTCCGGGGTAAACTTTTACGAGTTCACATTTGTTCAGACATTTCAAAGTAACTTAGCTTTCTCATTTTCCCAGACTGTTACATTGACTGTTGTAACTGTTTACGCATTCAAAACGATTATTTCCGGTTATTTCAGACTATTTTGAAGTCAGGCATTTACTGTCTCCAGACAGCTGTTATACTTTCTGAGGAAACTTTACGTCGGTATAATAAAATAATGATGTTGCGGTCGTCAATACAACTTTTCCTGTCTCTATTTAGCATCTGACACAACTTTCAAGCATTCGCGGTCTATTGTTCCGTCATTTCAGGCTCAATGCCTTCGATAGAATACCCCTACCTTTCCGAATACTTTTTTCAACTTTTTAATTTCTAATTATTGTACTTGTATGATGAAACATGTATGCTTTCATCCGCTAATATTGTACTATTTCATTTGAAACGTATTTCACTTTTGAAATTTGTATTTTATATTTCCCTCTCATCATATTGACAAGCTGTGTCATACATGTTATTGCAGCCTTGTCCCTCACCTTTGAACTCACAATGAACTTCAAGGAAAATGATATCAAGAAATATCAAATTACAGTGAAAAGGATCCGAGCAAGAAGCTCAGAAAAAAGTACATCACACAAGTGTTTTAAAAATAGTGTTTTAATATGTAGTTATACACATTCTGTTGCTCATGCATAGTAAGGGTTGTTTCTATGGTAACGTTAACTGGTTTAGTGTTAGTCGCCTACATTTCGTAAAACATTTATAAAGTTTTATACATTGATCCATAGACCCTCCTCCCTCTACTGGAGGGTCTATGATTGATCACGATATGCCACACTCTAGTTCACATGTCGCAAGACAAAGGGGTTTTAATTAATATACCCTCATGATGCATGATTAATTGAAGGCCAGCAAATTATTTATGTTCTTATCTTTGGTGGATATATCACCTATTAGTCAGTTCCGTTTTTTACACGAGGTCCATGTCTACAAAACGATTAACATGGTATTACAACATGTGTTGTTCATCACAACCTAACATCACTAGTTTTCAGTATTTAATTCGACTTACTTTTTAAAGCGACCCAGTCTTCGTCTCACGTCCTTGAGATCCCATGCGACGTATGGAAATACTGCTTTCTTGATGCGAGTACTCAATAACCACTATCACGAATTCAACTCCTGTTTTTCTTATCAACTATCCCACTAAATTGTAAAGATGAGGATTCTGCGCCGGGAGTTTATTTGCATAAATGCCGATACAATATAGTGCATCACACACCACTGTTTGAATATCTTGTACGATATTCGTCGTATGTTAACGCCGCTTATTTGCGTTAAAAATACTATACTTGGTAGCACTTCATCAAAAATTTGACGTTTTGTTTTGGATTAAATTACTATTGCCTGAACTCAAATGACCCTTGCTGTTTTTTTCTGAACCAGTTTGTGGAGCACTGGTATCGCTTAACGCGTCCCAGCAACCAGAATGTCCCGCTAAGTTAGACCAGCCCTTAGTCACGCCTCACAAGTTGAATGTTACTAAGTTCTCAGCCGAGTATATGTTAATGAAGCTACACAGATGTTTGGCAGACTGCTTGATAGATTCAATACACCCCTTGAACTAAGTGGGCGGTATTGGTAAATTGAAACGCAGTTCAAAGAGCGGTATTCTTTTGTGCAACGCAAAGAGTTGTGTGTTCGGTTGGTAAGCAACAAGAACCATCGAACTATTCTCCGGTTCCTCAGTTCTGTTAAGCTCATCGCAGAAAAAGGCTAATTCATTGACTGTTGCGTCAGAATGACATCACAACAAAAGCAATGGTCGTGCTCTTGCAGTTTAATTCTCGTGCTCGCAGTTATTCTGTCGGGGTAAGTTAGACAACCGTCGTACAATATAGAACTGGTAGTTGATAACGCCGCTAAAAGTGGAACTTTGCTTGTAATGATGTTTATACAGTCTCACATGTTGTTTTTTAACTGGGTGTATTATTCCTTCGGCAGGGCAGGCTTGGTTAATTCGACATCCACACTTCCACGTCGATCGCTCTCTCAAAGGGGGCATTGTCGATATGCGGGCACACATGGCAACACTATCGGGTGCTGCTATGGGTGGAAGAGAAACCGAGTTGGACAGTGCGAACGTAAGTATGTGATTTAGTCGTCTACACGTAATTATATTGGGAACATTCGTGTGTATATTATGCGTGATTCGCGATGATATTTCCCTCATGACTGCACAGAAGACCTGCTAGCACTTAATTCTGACGAACCGATTGAAAACGAGTTTCGGTTTAAAATTCCCTTAACCCCCACAAATTTTACTGTTGATATCTTCAACAGTGCCGATCACTGTATATTCGTGCAAAGATGATAGTATGATTGCTCAATAAAATACACGGTCCCATCGAAGGACTCATAAAACGACGTCGGCACATGTAGTGCGTGCGACTATTTTACATACGAGAGGAAACAAAATATAAGTATATTCCGTCCTTCAAAAACACACTGAAGTGCAAGTAAGTTGTTTACAACAAACCCACGTGACTTTTCCGGCAAGTTATATCGTGGAAGTCAAGGACAAGTGAAAGAGAAACGAAGTATGTCAAGTGCCCACGTCACCCATACCCATGGTGACGATGGACGCGATTTAGCCCGTTCGTTACAATGCGTGTGTATAGTCTATTTGCGAACGCTTTCCTGCTTGTTATGTATTTATTCATTTGGCGGTGTTACTTACTTCTTTTACTCCCAGTTCTTTTTCTCATTATTACCGTTTTTGATTAATGGTCTAATTCTCGTAATGCAAACTCTTTATGTTAGTAGTCTGTTGCAAAAGGTTCATTCTACTTGACCCCTGATCTTGTGACATGTAACCTAGTCATTGTGATAAATCTGTGACCATGCTACCTTAATATACAAGAGCTCTAATATGAACGAGGTTGTATTGCTATTGTTCAGTATATTCTCTTGCGCACTGATTCACATATGCCTTGGACATTCGTTGTTAATAGGTATTATTTGAGCTTCTTATCGAAGTTCTCAGTGTTTGCATCATGAATCTTCATCTTCATACAACGCGGTCAACCCATAAGAGACATGCGACTCAATCGTTTTCGCATATGAGCTGTTATCGTGAGGGGGCACGTCAAAACGTAAATCAATCACGCAATACGGCGCATTCATATATTTAATTCGATATAATTTTTTTCGATTTATTTACACCACTCCCGAGTTCTGAAATCGTACTTTGTGGTCAAGCACCTTCATATATATGCGCATTTAGCTCACGTGCATGATACTAACCAGTAATGGTGGTTAAATGGAAACTGTGCTGTGATATCACGGTGTACACTGCCGTGCCCGTCTGTCATAGCTACCATGCCACGAGAATACCGACCAGTGTTTCTCGTCTCTGCAGGCATCGACTGAATGCGATACACATGGAGAAGAACAAGCAGCTGTATCGACGCAGCATACGGTAGAAGAAGAAAACGTGACTGTCTGGTTATTCTTAAGACGAGTGGTTGTCACTTAAATATTTTTGCTCATTGAACTCTTAAAACATGATATTTTATTAGAATATGTGGGATCCACATTAATTTCATCGTTAAAAATACATTATTTAACAGTCTGACTGGATTATGTCAGGTCTATGCTTTGCAATGTTATGTTAGATTATACAGATTTAATTATTAGTTTGTTTTTGTTCACAGTTGTTGAGTGATGTGATACGTCGGAATGTCGCAGTAGGAACACATGGGCAGACACAACCCCAAATCGCTGTGTGAAAATGATAGATATAATCGTGTTGTTGCTGTGTTGGCCCATTAATTAACTGTATCTTTAACGTTCCAATGGGTTTACATCTCATAGTAATGGTATCTCTACATACCGAGTCATATGAGTCACTGTATGCAGTGTTTTTTTTTTTTTTTTGATAAATTTCCGATGTAACACATTTACTTTAAAGCACCCGTCAGCATCTAGGAATCAGTTCAGGTTTCGAAGGCGAAGTGTTGTATACAGGGATTGTTTACTATCATTAAACCATGCATGACGGAAACTCGTCAAAATATTTACGACAACAAATCGGACGAGTGTCACCGTCCTGTATTAAAATATAAATTTTGAATGGTCGCGGATCTAATCTCAATAGTCCCCATGTGTTTGAAGCAACGTTTCTTATATTTGACCGAACACGTTTTTTCACTTTTATTTTCCATCGGGTTTCTAGCACCAACTTTCCACTCCCCATTGGTTTGAATGACTAGGGCTATATCTTTCTAAAACCCACCGGAAGTGGTTATTGCCATAGAATAAATTCATTTGATTGCATCTATTTCACTAAATACATTTCTCATAATTATAAATTCCATAAAATACTTATAATACTGTTTTATCTATTTTATGTGTTGCACATTCATTGTTAATTTTGTTAAATATTGTCTTTCAAAATTAAGTTTAGAAAGCCGTCACAGAAAAGAATGGTTAAATCCATTTTTAGTCATCAACAACATATTCCAGACATATTTATTGGACTGGAAAGCTTTTAAACTAAGTGAAATCTACACAAGTGTTACTACATATGTTTGAAATAGTATATTGTTCTATGTAGAATGGCAACTAAAAGTGTAAATCAGCGTACTGTATCCAATGTTACTAGAGTCCTTATTCCGAAATTCAATGTATGTATATAGAATTTCGGATATGATGGCATTCTCTTTAAGTTACATTCGGGTATATCCTATTGGGATCCCATAGTATCCCTGTGCACATCCATAAACAAGGAGTTTTCTCGCTAAAACATCTGACATATCATTGGTATACGGTATAGTGATCAAAGTAGTAGTACTACTACTAGAGCTCATTGTTCCACTCTGTGTGCTCTGCTGTATATTATTGTTAATGACGTTCCCAAAGCCATCTTCACTGTCGAGTATCCCACACAAAATTTATTTGTACTTGTATATGTCTGTTTATAATTAGTCACGGCATGATTTTCGCATCAAATGCATGGGTAATATTTCAATATGACTGATTGATGGTGGGACTCGCATACTCCCAGATTGTAGTGGTTGTGGTGCCAGAAGGCCTGGGGTCGAACTTAAATAGATACCGGGGAATACCTCTTGCCAGTCAGACATCTGGAAATCGTCTTACTTTAGCTCTTAGGTAAACAAATTAGGAAAAGACCAGTCTGGTTAAATAACACGTACTTCCGGTCATACAAGAAATGGATATGTAATACGATTACTGGTAACAATGAAGACATTGTGTAGCGCAGTCCGCTTAATAATGTCTCATTATGTTTGAGTAATATATATGGACTTTATTTCTAATTGGAAAATCGTACTATCGTAATGAACATGATGGTATATATGTTTAATATCACGTGTTCGTTTCGGTGATGTTGGTTTCAAGCTAAACCATATCACGGACTGTTTTGGTCAGAAAGGGCATTTTTTTCTAAATATCCAAATTATTATACTATTAAATAAAAGTTTCAAAACGACTGCAACTATTTTTGGTTCCGAATTTGTTGAACTTTTATCGCACATTCAGCGCCAAACATTACCCCAAAACACAATTACCCCTATTTTTTTGTTTTGTATGTAATATAATTCACCGCGTTATTTCATATTAGAACACAGGAGCAAACATTCTCACTGTGTACATTTCGATCGCTTATTAGCACAGCCCGCCTGGTGAGTCCGAGTCTTGCTCGCGGCAGCGTAGCGCTTCCTTAATTCATGTTTTGGTTATATTTCGCCATGTTTGTTGAAAAAGCGGAGTACTGAGGTCATCGTGTCACGGGAAAACACGTGCAGTGTATTGAGTTCCTTGCAAAAGCGGTTTTGCGTTCTACCTTCACCTTTGACCTGAAAGCGACATCGAAGTTAGTGAAATTACTTCACGGAGGTATGCTCACGTGACATCGCACATATTTCAGGACAGCGGAAACACTATAATCACTGTTGCTGTGCAGAATAATTTAACAGGATTGCAAGATTTATCTAATTAACTGCTTAGCGTTAACGCATGGTCGACAAGCCTCTGGGACTTAGTTGCAAGTGTGCTCGTGTTACTGAATTACTGCAAGGATTGTGTTAATAATTGGACTCACCCTGACCGAGTTCTTCATTTGTATACGTCATCATGGTATTATGAAAACATCGCACCGAATCGTGCTATTATATGAGTTAAATAATTTGTATATGCGAACATGACCTACGTCCAGTCATAATTGGAAAAAAGGCTTTAGACGAAAACGTCCGCTGAGTTCTCGTTGCGAGCGAGAGAACCGCGAGACTTGTTTTTGCCCCCAGGGTTCTATTCTCTCACGTCATAGACCACTTTCCCGGAAGTCGAAGATACGGCGTTTCGCATGCGCGCGCATGTCGTTTTGGGGTGTAACGTAAACTTGCATGCGTGATATTATGCTTCTCGGTTCACCAATCGTTGTCCCAAAAATAAAATTCCCTTCTATCGACTATCAGCAAACTGACATGTTTGTATTTTCAGCTATGACAAAGCACCCAAGTCTCGCTACTTTCGGGAAAGTGGTCTATTGCGTTCACTATTTCAAATACCAGAGAAACAGTGGAATCGCGCGCGCATTTGTCCATAGAGATGACAATTATACTGAAAATTGCAAAATCGATATATTTGACTATTCTTCCAGTTATTTTAATCGATAATACAATACATTGAACAAGTATTTGCTTTCTAAAACAATTTAAACGTGCAAAAAACAGCCCGCGCACATTAAAACAATTGTACGAACCTGCAGTTATAAAAAAAAAAAAAAAAACGCACACACATGCGCGTAGGTCGCTATTTCATAAAACAAATAGAATTAATTGCATGATTGAAATTTGATTCATAAATAATATCAAAATTATTAAGTATCAACAATAACACAAATAAATACACTCACTGTTATACTCATACTGACTTTCTTAATATCCTACCAGCACTGGCTAGCATATTTAGTGGCATCTATCGGTTATTAAATATCGAGAATGCACGTTTAGTATGTTCTTTTCGATCCTAAATGCACTACTAGTATATTGACCTTGACGGAAACGATACCTATGGTACGGCCAGACCACCCAGACATGCAGACCACCTTTACCGATCTGTGGTCTAGAATGTCTCACATAATGTGATGTATGGTTACTTTCAGCAACGCTGTTATATCAGGTTTGGTGTTCGATGCATTTATTAGGAGTGTTCACACTGCAGAAAAAAAATCATTTCATGGTTATCTTATTAGCTTTCATTAGGGGCCTTGTGACGTTTGTATTGGAGTGTAGCTTGTGTACGCAACAGTTGCCGGTATACCCTATATTTACTTATAACCAGACACTTTGCGATGGGCGTCTTCCGTGATCACTTATATTCGCAATAATATTTGTTTATGTTTCTATAGATCTGTTACAACTAGCATTTTATTCCCCACCATCAATCAGATATAGTGTTGCTAGATTTAAAAAATAAGATTCATTGATAACAGATCAAAAATCGTATAATAAGGATAATGTGTTTCCACATTATTACCTGTACATAATATCAGAAACCATTCACTGCAAGGTGAAGATGATAAACACGACTGACTGACATGAGACGATGGGATAATATTAGACTTATACTCAACTAACAATACAATGTATTTGATCGGGGCGGGAAATGTGAATGCAGGGCGCTTGTTGACCGATGCAGGGCGCACGACTACCTATGCAGGGCGCACGACTTCCTATGCAGGGCGCTGCGCCCTGGTAAAACCCCTCGTGGAGAACACTGCACGACTAGACTCGACTACGCTACTTCAGACCGTTATTGTACGAACGTTGCTATCTGGGCTTACTCGCTTGGCCAAAGCCCGGAAACAAATATTGTACTCTATGCTTTGTCTATCCGATAGCTTCACCAGAATGAAGATCTATGACACGGCGAGAAATTGTTACTAAGTTACTAAGAGAACAAAAATCCGTTGTGATGATTAATGACTCCATGGTTACAATATATGTCTAAAACGCCTCAGTCTAGAGAATACTTTTTCTTGGATTACAATATTTGGGTAAATTACTGTCCAATATTGTTTAAGCAACCTTAAAAACACAATTTGTCAAGCTGACACTCCCACAGAACGAATGAAAACAAAGTAAAAACAGGTATCCGTCTTCCAACCTTCAAAGTTAAGGTAATTGGTCAACATGCTAGTCTCGTGATAGACATAGTTAAAATAAACAATTATTATTGGTTGAAAAGCCACCTTACAGTGCATTCCACGAGTATCATCCGAGTCCAGAGTCGAACAGGACCGTTAACATAGTCCGATGTCATATCCGAGGCAGACACTAATATATCCATTTTTGTTACATACAGCTATCTGCCGTAAACCATGTCTTCATGGCACGTGCACTGGGGCAAATAGATGCACGTGCAATAAAGGGTATACTGGGCCAACGTGTAGCCAAGGTAAGAATTATATTATCGGAATATTTATTTGCATATATTGTTAAGCTGTATGTCGATTCAAGTAGACAAACATAGAAAACATATAGAATCTCGCCTTCCATTCTTTTATTGTCTTCAATATTTCTGAAATATTGTATTACTTGATTTGGTAGCAATTGCATAAAATAATGATTTGCAATGCAATAATGCATGAGCGAGAAATGTGTTACGTCATTAAAAAAACATCTATCCATTGCACGTACATAATTATACATTTCTAACAATGTATATCTGGTATCCAGCCGGCTGATTCAGGTCTTAGGTTATAGAAATCCACGTTGTTTTCCATGGGAACTGTTTACTTTGTTACCAAAATTAGGCGAATTCAACATGCCTGTCTCTGCTTGACACGTCAAATGACGATAAACCTGTTCAGCATCAGCGTTCGTGTTGGCATTTCAGCATAACCAGAACATTCCCAAGGAACTTGTGATGGGAACGTAGTGCCAAGTATTGACTGTTCGCTCAGTTCTTGAAATGCCAAAATTGATATACATCGTATATTTAAAAAAATGTGGTAAATTGAATTATTTGTCTTCACCTTGGTGTGGTCAAGTCGTATGATGAGGTTGTGGGGTTGGCTTGGAAAGCTCACTCATCAGTATATACTGGAGTATTTTTAGCCCAGACAACGGAATATTTGTTATGAGTTATGGCTTCTTATCGGATGGGGACTGGCCGGATCGGATCGGTTACGTATGCTCTCAATTCTTGTTCCCAATGCGTTTTGTGACAGTGGCGGATCCAGAGG